TCCGTAAATTGAATGCTGTTTCATGAGAAAAGCTCTTCGAGAGCTCGGAGACGTCTTATTTCATCCAGAAATCTTTGCTCTATTCGAATAAACTAATGGTAAAAAGTTCAATTATACTTGTACACAAGAAAGTCAATAAATACACAGGGGGTGAGTTTTTTTTTGATCACCCTGTATGATTTTTATAAGATCGTATAAGATCTTGATCTGAGTGGAGCGGAATTCGACGGGAAATGTTCAGGCGTATGATCTTGTAAGATCAGATGAATTCTTATAAGATCAAGTAATATCTTGTAACTCTTTATAAGGCCGTATAATTTCTTATAGCTTCTTTTTGTAAGATCTTAAAACATCTTGTACTATCTTGTAAGATCTTGTCATTTCTTGAACGATCATGCAAGATCTTGTTGCAAGAAAAATCTTCTGAAATTTTATATTTTCTTTTGTTCAGAGACTCATTTTTTTGTGACATGAATTCTGCACACCTTAACAAGAACATAAAAACCATAAAATAAACGAACAATTGAGACCTGCAGAATATGAACGCAGTTGACCTTAACTCAAAATATTTTTAACCGTTGGCTTCAATAAATTCAAAAGTGTAGACAAATCACTACTGCTATCAAGGCTGAGTACTGCTTCTTCTATACTCTGCTGTCTTTCCTCACTAATAATATCTTTTGTTAGTTTGCGAAACTTTTCCCTTATCTGGACATTTGTTAACGCCTGTTTAACACCGGTCGGCTTATCAACTTCTGTCTCCACCTTCTGTTCATCGTTCATAACCACTTTGACCCTAGAAGTCAGATAACTGTTCTTGTCTTTATCAAAGTCTGGCTGATGTAGAACGTTTATCTTTGAAATTAAATCCCAAATTTCCTGCCGATTGATTAGTTGAGGTGAAAAACGACGAGGATCGATGTGTCCGTCGAGAATGCACGTGGCTGCAATGAACCGGACATTCATCTGAGCACCGGTGACCGTAAATGGATATTCAGGTTCCCATCCGCCGTGGTCGAAAGCCCCTTTGCCCAGTTCGATCGACACTGATTGAATATTTGTCGGGTTAACTTTCAATTGTAGTTCATTAAAACAGTCAATTGTTGAATGCAGTCCAGCCATACAAGCGTAGGGTTTTACCGCAATGTTCAACGTTTGCCATGTTTCGCCAAGTTCGCTCACAATTTCCTCGGTCAAAGGTGCAGCTCCGCCCAAACTAAAAGTCGACAGGAATCCGCCGTACGATCGTTCATACACCCGTTTAATCCCAGTATAATTTCCCTTCGCCATTATTGACGCAAACAGACCGTGCACTCTAATCGGATGGCCCGATCGTCATCTGAGTCCGATGAATGCGTCGCTACTAAACAGCACATTTATTCAAGGTTTTGAACTTGATGACTGGCATTTTATTNTAATTTCCCTTCGCCATTATTGACGCAAACAGACCGTTACGTGCAGCAAAACCGTGTTGCATTCGTTTTTCCATCGACTCGAACTGAGCTGACATCAGACCGCAGGCTTGAGTGCATGCAGTGCCGAGAGCATCTTCGATTTGACCGGGTGACAAGTGAAGTAGGATAGAAGTAGCTGCAGCACTTGCAGATGGACCGAAAACCGTTCCTGAATGCCACCCTCGCGTGAGCAGAGTTCCACCGTGTAGTGCTAAACCGATACGTGGTCCTACTTCGTAGCCCACGAGGAGTGCAAGA